AAAATGTAACCAAAATTTAACCCAACAGTTGGGTTAGTCCATATTTGACCCAGCATTGGGTTGAAACAACCCAGCATTTTTTAGAGTGTAGAATCCATGGCAAAGATGTAGCCTTCATCTAAGAGCAATTAAATAATAGCAATAATAATAGTCATAATACATTTTTTTTATGAATTGAAATGGAAAATATATTTGAACCTTTAGATTTAATAACTTGTGCAATTCAGTACAATCCAGAATTCGGGCTGCAAGACAGATCCAAACTATAATACACTCAAAATGTCCATATTTAACTACTGAATATATACCACCCATTGAAAGTTGGGAATGATTACGTTTTTAAGGTTTTGAAAGAAGTCTTTTCTGCTCACGGCCCCGTAGTATAATGTTTATATAATGTTTCTGTATTCGTTCACTCAGGATGGAATAATGCCCAGTTGGCTCAGCAGCTGGAGGAGAGAGAAAGAAGAATTAAAGGACACCTGGATATGGCGGCCAAAGGTGAGGGTTTGCTCTTCATAGCTCTGTTTCAAAACCTAGTGAACTGTCTACAGCCTACACTACTGCTCAAAAGACTGGGGTCAATAAGATTATGTAAATGTTTTTTTAAAGAAGTTTCTTACCAAAGCTGCATTTATTTGATTAAAAATACAGTAAAAACAGTAATATTGTGAAATATGATTACAATTTAAAGGGATAGTTCACCCTAAAACGAAAATTAGCCCATGATTTACTCACCCTCAAGCCATCTTAGGTGTGTATGACTTTCTACTTTCAGACGAATACAATCGGAGTTATATTTAAAAATGTCCTGGCACTTCCAAGCTTTATAATGGCAGTGAATGGGTGTTATTTTTCAATAGTCCAAAAGAAGTCCAATAAAGTGCATCCATCCATCATAAAAAGTGTATCATTAAAATGATGTACTTAGAAGGCCCGCCCACACGCGCTTCTGATTGGCTGTGATTTCTGATTGATTCTGATAAAGTAAAAGTGTAGTAACTATGATTTTTGGCGTATTGATTACCATTTGTATAACCACAGTTTTACTACAAATACCATGGAAATTACCCCATGATTTACTCACCCTCAAGCCATCCTAGGTGTATATGACTTTCGTCTTTCAGACGAATACAATCAGGGTTATTTTAAAAAATGTCCTGGCCCTTGCAAGCTTTGTAATGGCAGTGAATGGGTGTTGAGATTTTGAAGCCCAAAAAAGTGCATCCATCCATCATAAAAAGTGCTCCTCCCGGCTCCAGAGGGTTAATAAAAGCCTTCTGAAGCGAAGCGATGTGTTTGTGTTAGAAAAATATCCATATGTAAAACGTTATCAACCGTAATCTCTAGCTTCTACTAACTGTTGTGTGCGCGTTCACGAGAGAGTGGTATCCAGCGGATGACGTAGGTGTAGGTGAGAATATGCTAGTTTCGCAAAAAACAAGTTTCATTTACAGCAAAGGAAAACCAGTCTCCTCTTGGCTTACATTGAAATCCTCCAACATTTTTCTTTACAAATCTTCGTTTTGTGCTTCTAATTCATGACGGGTATTTTGTTTTTGTTTTGGTATTTTGTCATTTACATGTATAATAGTGAAAACCATTATTAATAACTGAGCACTAATAAGTAATAACATTTCTGAAGGATCGTGTGACACTGAAGACTGGAGTAATTTATGTTCAGTGCCTTGGCATTCATAAATTCATTAGTTGTATGTGTGAAAATGAATTCTGTGTCCTTAATATTGTTACAGCCAGATGATGAGAAAGGTGGGAAAGGGAAAAAGAAGCGGAAGAAGGGCGAAGAGGTGGAAGAGGAGGAGCTGGATGAAAGCATGCTGGACTGGTGGTCCAAATACTTTGCCTCGATTGAAACACTGAAAGAGGTAAGAGCTATAAAAGAGTGAAATTATTTCACATGCCTTTTACAGAAGACGCCTTGAAAATGCATGATTCAGTTGTTTGAACTGAGATTTTATTGTACTATTTATGAACGATTTAGATCATTAAAGCGCAGGAAGCAGAAGCTGAAGAAAAGGAAGATTTTGACTCTGGAGAGGGTGAGTCAACAATATGTTTGACAAAAATTAGTTTAACTTTTAACTTGTTTAAAATATGCACATGTTAAATCAGATAGGAGCTATGCGTGCACGACTAAAAATAGCTGCCCAAGTGCATTTGCAATATGAAATGACTTGCCTTTCAAGGGACTTTGTATAAGTTAATACTTTGATATTAGCATATGATATATAATTAAATGCATAAGACAGTTCATTATGTAAAACAGTATATCTCCATGAAAAATTTCAGTCTTTATAATGCATATATTTTTTTATTTAGTACACTCTAAAAAATGCTGGGTTAAATATAACCCAGCGCTGGGTTAAAAAGGGACAAACCCAGTTATTGGGTTAAATATAACCCAGCGCTGGGTTAAAAAAGGACAAACCCAGCTATTGGGTTGTTTTGACCCAGCGGTTGGGTTCAAAACAACCCAATAGCTGGGTTTGTCCTTTTTTAACCCAGCGCTGGGTTATATTTAACCCAGCATTTTTAGAGTGTACTGCCCCAAGAAAGCTATTTGACAGATATTTACATATAATCCTCAAATTCCAATTTGACTGAAATTACATAAATAATCCTGTTCAGAAGTTTGCACACCCTTGATTCTTTGCCCTGATTTCCAAATATGTTCCTAATGCCTCTGATATGAAAGGGACCAAGAAGAAGAGAGGAAAGGGGAACAAGAACAAAGCCACGCCTGGGGAGGGAGCACCAGAGAAGAAGAAGCACAAAATCGAAGAGTTGAAGGTACTTAGGTCTTTAAAGGAATAGTTCACCTGAAAATGAAAAGTTGCTGTAAATGTCCTCACCCAACTAATATGATGAGTTTAGCAAATGTAGCATTGCATCAGTGTCTCAGCAATGGATGAATGAATGGGTGCCGTCAGAATGAGAGTCCAAACAGCTGATAAAAACATCACAATAATCCACACCACTCCAGTCCATCAGTTAACATCTGGAGAAGACAAAAGCTGTGTGTTTGGAAGAAACACAGAATGTTTGGACTCTTATTCTGACGGCACCCATTCACTGCAGAGCATCCATCGGTGAGCAAGTGATGCAATGCTACATTTCTACAAATCTGTTCCAATGAAGAAACAAAAGAAACAAGAAAAAATTTAATTTTTTTGGAACTATTCTTTTAATAGCAAAAGTCGATTTGAAAATGAAAGGCCTAGATGAAACTTTTGTCTCTTTGGAGAGCGTATGGGACGCCTCGTGGATGTAAAAGAATGTGGGAATTCTTGTTTTTCTCCATAGATGTTCAACAGAGAGCTTGAATATCAGTTTGACAGCTTTGAAGATTGGCTTCACACTTTCAACCTTTATCGAGGCAAGTGTTCGGATGATGCTAATGTTGAGCAGAATGCAGCTGATGAAGACAGACTCATTGGCAAATTCAAGGTTTGTTGCCACTCATTGCTTATTGCTCTCTTGCTTCTGACTTGCTGGTTCTCCATGTACTCAACCAGTCATACATTTGGACATGCTTTATTATTACTGTTTTCTACATGTTAGATTAATAGCAACATCATCAGAACTATGAAATAACACAAATGGAAATATGGGAATTATGTAGTGACCAAATCTAATCAGAACTGATGTTTTATTTGATACTTCATCAGAGTAGCTGCTCTAGTTTAGAGCTCTCACACCAACTTCAATAATGAATATTGAAAGAGTTCTCATGTATGCTACACACTTGTTGATTATTAACTAAAAATATAGTTCTGCAAAACCATATTCATCGGCAGTGTTGCTTAGTGTCGTTGATATACTATTATAGGTTTTATTCATATTCAGAGCTAGTTTTCATTTTAATTTTAGTTCAAGTTTTAGTAAATTTGTTGTGTTTTTGTCATTTTTATTAGTTACTGTTTTATTTCATGTCTATATAGTTCTTATCATTTGTATTCTAGTTTGAGTTATTTTAGTACTTTAAGTTAAACTAAAAGAAAATGTGAAATGCTGCATTGGCAACTAGCTGAAATAAAATAAGTTTACGGTTTTTATATTTTATATTTCAGTTAATGTTTATTTTATTTCAAGGTAAATTTTTTTTATGGTTTTAGTTTTAATTTTAGCTTTAGTTAGCAATAATAACCCTGTTCTTAGGCACTATTATTGTATGCAAAACAAAAAAGTATTTTGATCTAAACAAGGTTTTTAAGATCAGGAGAAACAATAATTCAGTTGATTTGTTTAAACTTTGGATATTGTATATGTGTCTGAAGTATTGACATATTACATTAAAAAAGACAATGGATTCAGTGGAATTCAGGAGTCAGATTCATGAGAATATAATTCTTATTAACTGCTATTTTCTTCTCATTCTTTTACTTAAGAAAACATTTTTTTGTATTCCCGTAATACTTAAGAATGTTTCTATCTTTTTTTCTAGCTTGGTCTTAAGACAAAACTATGGGGAAATTTAAAAAAAAAAGGTAATGATTACTTTTTTCTCACAATTCTGAGTTTATATCTCAAAATTCAGACTTTGTTTCTTGTAATTCTGAGAAAAAAGTCATAGTCAGAAAAATAGTCAGAATTGTGAGATAAAAAAAGATGCAATTACCATTTTTATTTTTTATTCCATGGTGGGAAAAAAATTGCAAGATGTAAACTCAAAATTCAGAGATAAAAGTCAGAATTGTGAGATAAAGATGCAAAATTGTGAGATATAAACCGGTGGTGATTTTTAAAAAGAAAAGTCCAAATTATGAGAAAGTCAGAATTTCAAGAAAGTCAGAATTGTGAGTTTACATCTAGCAATTCTGTGTTTTTTTTCTGCTTATAATTGTGAGATAATCACAATTGTAAATCATTGTAAATTTAAGTTAAAACTTCAATCCAATTTGACTTAAATATTCAAATCTGAAGTCTTAAGTCGCTGGGGTAATTTGTAGCAATAGCCAACAATACATTGTATGGGTCAAAATTATTGATTTTTCTTTTATGCCAAAAATCATTAGGTTATTAAGTAAAGATCATGTTCCATGAAGATATTTTGTAAATTTTCTACTGTAAATATATCAAAACTTAATTTCTGATTAGTAATATGCATTGCTAAGAACTTCATTTGGACAACTTTAAAGATGATTTTCTCAATATTTAGATTTTTTTGCACCCTCAGATTCCAGATTTTCAAATAGTTGTGTCTCGACCAAATATTGTCCTATCCTAACAAACCATACATCAATGGAAAGCTTATCTATTCAGCTTTCATATAAATTATAAATCTCAATTTCGAAAAATTGACCCTTATGACTGGTTTTGTGGTCCAGGGTCACAAATGTAAAATGTTAAATGAATTTACTGGGTCAAAATTTGTTTGAAAATCACGAACAACTAAAAAAAAGTCTTTACTTCTTTCTTAAAAAGGTCTTTGTGAATCTGGCCCAAGATGATTTCAGTTTTGTGGATGTTTATATTGACAACCATATAAACATCATTCTACGAAACAGGTGTCTTTTCCAGTTGGATAAAAATGTTGGAGTAAATTTTTGTAAGGTTTGTACCAATAATGTGACTCCAAGAGTAGCCCACAAATATAGTAAACACATTCAACAGTTGTGTTTGCTGTGTGTACTGTAGGGATCCCTGTGCATCTACAAAGTCCCAGTGTTTGATGAGGTGTCCAGAGAAATGGGCTTTGATTCCAACATGGGCATGTTCCAGAACATCCCACACAACGACCCCGTTAACGTCCTCATCCGAGTTTATGTGATCAGGGTATGTGGTACTAAACACCTTAGAGCAGTACGTTGAGTTTTTTCCTGCTTGGCCATTTGAACAAATGTATGGCTTTGTCTCAGGCAACAGAACTGCATCCTGCAGACATCAATGGGAAGGCCGACCCATATATCGCCATCAAGCTCGGGAAGACAGAGATCAAGGACAAAGAGAACTACATCTCTAAACAACTCAACCCTTTGTTTGGAAAGTCAGTACATTAACACAGTGATTATGATGTTCTCTTTCACCACTCGATTCATATTAACTGCAAACTTCAAACTCCCAGGTCTTTTGATATTGAAGCGACGCTCCCAATGGATTCCACCCTCACCGTGTCCATCTACGACTGGGATTTGGTGGGAACCGATGACCTGATTGGGGAGACAAAGATTGACTTGGAGAACCGTTTCTACAGCAAACACAGGCCAACCTGTGGTCTCAGCGCCAGCTACGCGATGTGTGTAATACTCACTTCTTTCAAACACATTAGAAAGTCTGTGCTTGCCAGTACTCGTGGGGGGTTGTGTTGTGTGTGATATACTATTATAGTTTTGTATTAGTATTCTGAATTAGGTTTTATTTCTGTTTTCATTTTAATTCTAGTTTTAGTGATTGTGTTTTTTTATTACTGTATGTCTCTATAATTCTTATTAATTTTATTTCAGTTTTTGTTTTAATTATTTTAGTAAATAAAGATACATTAAAAGGAAAATGAAAAATTATGCAACTAGCTGAAATGTATTGATATTGGCTTTTATTCAGGTTAACGTTTATTTTATTTCAAGAAGCTATAAAAAAACATTTAACAACATTTATCCGATTACATTTTGCATTTTTATGTAATTCAGAATATTAATGACTAGATAACAAAATAACACTGTAATAAATCACTTAAAAGTATTTTTATAAATGTGACCCTGGAGCACAAAAGCAGTGTTAAGTCGCTGGGGTATATTTGTAGCAATAGCCAACAATACATTGTATGGGTCAAAATTATAGATTTTTCTTTTATGCCAAAAATCATTAGGATATTAAGTAAAGATCATGTTCCTTGAAGATATTTTGTAAATTTCCTACCGTAAATATATCAAATGTAATTTTTGATTAGTAATATGCATTGCTAAGAACTTCATTTGGACAACTTTAAAGATGATTTTCTCAATATTTAGATTTTTTTGCACCCTCAGACTCCAGATTTTCAAATAGTTGTATCTCAGTCAAATATAACAAACCATACATCAATGGAAAGCTTATCTATTCAGCTTTCAGATGATGTATAAATCTCAATTTTGAGAAATTGACCCTTATGACTGGTTTTGTGCTCCAGGGTCACAAATGGAAAAATGTTGTCATGATCTGGGGTAACTAGAAGTGACAATATCGCTGTTACAGTCGTCAGAAAAGAATGGTTGGATAAAAGGTTTCCTACTGTTTTTCTTTAGTCACGGCTATAATGTGTGGAGGGACCCACTGAAGCCAACGCAAATCCTTGCCAAACTCTGCAAAGATGGAAAAATGGATCCGCCCCAGTACGGCCCCGGGGGACGAGTGAAAGTGGCGAACAGAGTTTACACGGGACCGACTGAAATTGAGGATGAAAATGGTATGTACGTTTCCACAAAGCATTTTGAAATGCAATATTTTAAAATGTTTGCATTCGTTGCTTCAAATATGCTTCATGCATTCGTTGCTGAGTTAGCACATAGGAACAAATGCACATGCTTTTTTTCTGACAGCACTGAAGAAACAGACGGATGAGCACCTGGCTCTTGCTGTACTAAACCGCTGGGAAGATATTCCACAGATCGGCTGCAAACTCGTCCCAGAGCACGTGGAGACGAGGCCTCTCCTGAATCCGGATAAACCTGGGATGGAGCAGGTCAGGAATAATGTCCGAAACTAATGAAATGGTGTTAATGAGCCATTAATGAATGTGAGTGCCTCTGATGTAGGGGAGGGTTGAGATGTGGGTGGACATGTTCCCGAAGGATATGCCTGCGCCTGGACCCGCTCTCGATATTTCACCAAGGAAGCCAAAGAAGTAGGAAGCACTTGGTGAAATTCTTTAGCAAAATACAGATGAATATTTTATTTTCTAAATCTGTTTTGGTCATTGACAGATTTGAGCTCAGGGTGATCGTGTGGAACACAGACGAAGTCGTTCTGGAGGACGATGACATTTTCACAGGGGAAAAATCCAGTGACATATTTGTTAGAGGGTATGGGATCTTTTTCATTCAAATCATTTGTATATGGTAGTAGCTGTTTACATGTAATCTGGATCTATTCAGATTTCAAAAATTAAGTACAGGTACTTTTAAAATACACACGATCAGACTAGTTACTGTTTACAGAATAGCAATAAATTATTCAGAATTTTCTTCTTCTTGTTTTAATTAGATTTTACAATAAAACAACAGTAGTACTGGTGTCTTCTAACAGCATGTACAGTCTTTGTTCTTAAGCACGTGTATGCACTGAATGTCTGTACAAAGACAGAAATAAAAAAGAAAATTATGAACCAAAATTAGAAAGACATAGTAGTCACCGAGTATCTTCAAGAAAGTTCCAGAGAGAGGACCAAATGCACCAGAACACCTCAGATCTTTAATGTAACCCATTACTTAATTTTTCCAAAGGTAAAGGAGTGGCAGCCTGACTCATCCATATATGTGACCCTGGACCACAAAACAAGGGTCCGTTTTTCGAAATTGAGATGATGCATCATCTGAAAGCTGAATAAATAAGCTTTCCATTGATGTATGGTTTGTTAGGATAGGACAATATTTGGCCGAGATGCAACTATTTGAAAATCTGGAATCTGAGGGTGCAAAAAAAAAATTCAAAATATTGAGAAAATCGTCTTTAAAGTTGTCCAAATTAAGTTCTTAGCAATGCATATTACTAATCAAAAATTGAGTTTTGATATATTTACAGTAGGAAATTTACAAAATATCTCATATATTTTTGGCATAAAAGAAAAATCTATAATTTTGACCCATACAATGTATTGTTGGCTATTGCTACAAATATACCCCAGCGACTTAAGACTGCTTTTGTGCTTCAGGGTCACATACTGACTGAAGCTATCTGAGCAGCTGGTCATAATAGTGTGATAATTCTTTATCACAGTCAAGACACAGATCCGCTTTACAATTCAGAAGGTATACCTTTGGGGACAATACAAAAGTCTTTCCAATAATCTTTTGAATAATTTTGTAAATCTCTTTCCAGTACATATTGATTTTATCACAATCCCAAAATACATGCATCACCGTGCCAATGTCTGCCTTACGTTTAAAGCATAGCTGAGAGGAATTGGGGAATATTCTATGGAGGCGAGCTGGGCTTAGATAAGTGCATAATGTATAGTTTTGTTCGTGAACCGAAATTGAAGCACCTTTGGGGAAGACATTTGAACAGCCACTCCTCATCACTAAAACTAGATCCTAAGTCCTTTTCCCATATCACTCTTAAAGAGTCAAAGGTTGAAGGACCAACATTAGACAGCATTGTATATAATTCTGAGATCTTCTTCTTAAGAGTAAATGAAGAAAAAAGCTGTTTTTCTATTTCGGTAAGACCATATTGTATATTACCTTCTTTTAACCGTAACTCTAAAAAGTGTCTTTTTGAAAAAAACACCAAAACTCTAAAAAAAAAAACATCTTGTGGATTCAATCCCGACCCAGCGTGAATCAAATCTGTAAATAAACCAGCATAACATGTGCTTAATTTGTTCAGACCAAAAATATAATTGAATATCGGGACCCTCACCCAATTCCTTTGGTTTCATCAGAACAGAAAGTTTGAGTGTTTTTTTTTTTTTTGTGATTCCAAATATACCTTGGAATTAAAGGCTTAATCCTCTTTAAAAAGTTTGAATTTAAGTAACATGATAGAATTTGGAATAGGAAGTTTAATCTCGGAAGGATATTCATTCTTATAACATTGATCCTGCCAAAAAAAAAAAAAAGAATTTGGAAGAATCGACCGATCTGATAAATTCTGATTAATTTTCGTGATTAAATGGGGATTATTGGTTTTAAAGAGGTCTTCATGAGATTAATTCCCAAATATTGAAATCCAGAAAGTGCTAGATGAAAGGGAGATTTTGAGATGGCTTCGGAGGGGGCATACATATACAAAGCTTGAGATTTCTCCAGATTAATCTTGTATCCTGAAAAGTTGCTATATTTTTCAATTACTGCAAGAATTACATCAGTAGAAGTCTCATGGTCTGCATACAGAGATATACAATGTTCCTCTAGACCTATTTTAATACCGTGCATGCTACCATTAGTTCTCACAGCAACAGCCAGTGGTTTGACAGCCAGAGAGAATAACAAAGGTGAAAGAGGACAGCCTCTGCGTACCGATAATCTGTTAGACAACATTCTATTAGTGTTGACCTGGGCTATAGGATTAGAATAGAGAAGTTTGACCAGACCTATAAAATTAGATCCCAACTGTATTTTCTCTAATACTTCAAAAGAAAAGGCCATTCCACTCTATCAAACGCCTTTTCGGCGTCTAGGGATACAATAAAAGCAGATTCCTTTCACAAAACCAGTCTGATCTGGGTTGACAATGTAAGGCAAAACAGTTTCAAGCCTCCGAGCTAAGAACTTGGCTATAATTTTAGAATCTACATTAAGTAAGCTAATTGGGCGATAAGAGGAACAATTTGTTGGGTCTTTGTCTTTTTTCTGAAGCAGACTGATAATTGCCAATGACCAGGATTCAGGCATAAAATTTGTCTCAAAAAGATTATTTATTACTTGCGTTAAAATAGGGCAAAGCTCAAGCCAGAGCTGCTTAACACAAACCCATCGGGGTCGGGAGCTTTTACCGGATGGCATTGATTGAATGGCTTGCCAGATTTCATTCAAAAAACTCCTAGCATCATCAGAAATACTGGGAAGAGAAATCTCATTTAGTCTCAAAATTAAGCAAATCCTCACTAGATCCGCGATAATCAACTAGATTCCTATAGAAATCGGAAAAAGTAGAGTTGATGTCCTGCGGGTCAAAGGTCATGTTGCCTATAGATGTCTTAATTGATTTTATAGTTCTTTCACTCTGTTCCTTTTTTAACTGATAGGCCAAAAGACGACTGGGTTTGTTACCTGTTTATTATAAAATAATAATTTATTGCTATGTTCTGCATAATCTAAGTTAAGCTTGGCTCTAGCATCATGTAACAAAATCCAGTTATCTTGATTTGGCAATCTTCTGTGTTGTTTTTCCAGGTAATTTACTTCAGCTTCAAATTCTTTCCTTTTCTGGATTCTGAGTTTCTTCATTAAAGAAGCATCAGCAATAAGGTTTATTGCGGGGGAAACTGGCGAGTTCTGATCGTCTTGCCAATACTGAGTTATTTCTGTCTAAAAAGAGAGCAAAAGTTTTGTATTGCTTAAGAACAAAATATTGAATTTCCAATAGTTTGACGTCTGAATCGGTATACTAATATCAATGACTAAATAAACAGGGCCATGATCGGATAGCAAAATAGGGCCAATATGACAAGATAGTGTATACAATCAGAAGGTGAACAGAAGAGACTCAAATACATATATCTTTCATGGTATAGCTTTTCACGTAACTTGTGACCAACAGATGGCTGAAAGGTCAACAAGAAGACAAGCAGGACACAGACGTCCACTATCACTCTCTGACCGGAGAGGGCAATTTCAACTGGCGCTTCATTTACCCCTTCGACTACCTACAGGCCGAAGAGAAAATCGTCATCTCAAAGAAAGAGTCCATGTTTTCTTGGGATGAGACGGAGTATAAAATTCCTGCCCGACTGAATTTGCAAGTGTGGGATGCGGATCACTTCTCTGCAGACGACTTCCTGGGTGTGCTGTTGTACTTTTATGATTATTTTTATGATTTGTATGATTAAATGTACATTCAGTCTCAGTCGTAATGACCTTCATTCATGCCGGCACATGTGTGTTTGGTTTTTGTTTCAGGTGCAATTGAACTAGACCTGAATCGATTTCCTCGTGGTGCGAAGACAGCGAAGCAGTGCTCCATTGACATGGTGATTAATGAGCAAGACATGCCCATGGTCAACATCTTCAAACAGAAGAGAATTAAAGGCTGGTGGCCATTTGTGGCACGAGATGAAAACGACGAGTTGGAAATTACAGTAAGTGGCCTGCACATAAATATGCTAATTTCTCATTTTCTTTTAGTTTGACTTGATGTACTTCAATAACTAAAACTGAAATAAAAAATATATAGACGTATTTTTTAAAAAACAAAAACTAATTATATTAAATAAAATATACAAATAAAAACGAATTCAAAATCTCAAAAATTCAAAAGCACAACAGAGGCAAAATTAGGAGTTTTCAGTGATCAAAGCAGTGATCAACAATAGGTGGCGCTGTTGTCAAAGTGATGTGGTGTGTTCAGTGTGAGGTGACAATGGCACACACATAGCTTTGCAGAGATATAGCCTCAGATACAGTTTATAATATTATAATATATTATTATAATTTTTGACCACAAGGTGGCGCTGCCCCGAAACCTTTTGAGTACCCTAAAAAAACTGGGTATTGTTGCAATCCATATGCTGCACTGAATCGAAAGAGATCAGTCTTGTGATTTTTGGCCAAACCATTCAGAAGTTATAAGCATATTTTTCATATCTCCTGACCACTAGGTGGCACTGTGCTGAAACTGTGCGACTAAACGGCTAAATCTGCTTACCATGCTGCCGGGTATGCACTACATGATTTTGTGCCCGATTTTCAGCCGCAAAGAGTTTTCTTAAGATTGCTGACAAAAGCCCAAAATCTGAGGCAAATCGGTGTTCGTTCAGGCAAGCGATGATCGCATAGTGTGAAGTTTGTTCCGTTGTGTAATGTGCAAACCACAGCAACTTCATGAAACAGTCATGTAGCGTGAAAGGAACCCAGCATAAGATATATGCAAATATGTCCCGTGAGCATCTAAGCTGCGGCTGCACAAACAGACAAACATAAATCCCCCATAAGCAGATCTAGACAAGTGGTGCTGGGGAGGAGGAGGGAGTTTGACAGAAAGTGATGTGAACTCATTCACAGCAACACTAGCGCAAAGACTATTTAAATGCGTGCAAGTTCAATGGCAGATGTGTAACACGTCAGTACCAATCAGCTGTCGGCCGGCAGAGCATTAAATATGACTACGATTGCTATATGTGCAATCTGTTACACTTTGTTTTAAGGTGATGTTGCTACAATGTAAATACACAAATAAGTGCAGAGTAAAATTATTTAACTACATGTAATTAGAATAAGGTTAGTCTGGTTTAGAGTTATTTGTAAATATTCATCATTTACTCGATTACTATAGTAATCACATTTAACGTGTAACTACATCAACTTAACCGAAAGTGTTACCAACTACCAGTGTTAGTGTTATCGCTTGTTCTTCCTAACCAAAATGAAATGATTCACTGAAAATGCTCCCTTCCAAGCATTTAAATTTCAAATCTTACACTTCTGCATATTCAAACTCTCACATGATACATGATACGCTGAACAACTAAAACATGACAATCCTGTGACCTCCTGCAAGTCATATGGACTGCTGTAATGATACTTTTATGTTGCCTTTTTGTTGTTTTTGGGACTTGGCAGTAAAAAGCATCTTTCACTTTTAACTGTGCTTTAAACATTTTTCAGAATAACTTTGTTCAGGGAAAAAAATAAAAATTGAATGACAGGATTTTTTTTTTTTTAAAGCAATAAATGCTCATCCTAAACAATCAATGTGCACTTGTAGCATTTTTTTTTAGTTCAACATGTTTTTTTTTTTTTTATCTCTTAAGGGGAAAGTAGAAGCAGAGCTTCACCTGCTGACAGGCGAGGAGGCCGAGAAGAGTCCTGTTGGTGAAGGACGCAATGAACCAGAGCCTCTGGAGAAACCAAAGTAAGAGCAACACTTACCTTCAGTGCTTCAGTCATTTGCCACTAGCCATTTTTCACTTTCACTAAAGTATAAAAACCTTTCATTTGTTGAACTAAACACTATAAATCACTTAAAAAATCAAATTAACATTTATTTAGAAAACATTGTATCATCCATTTTTTTTAAATAAATACTTTAAAAAGAGTGCTTGTTAGAAAATATATGGTAGCTTCTTGTTTTCCTGCTTCCAGCTTTCCAAAAAATAAGCAGATATGGCTTTGCATATCCTGGTTTAAAAGAAATCTCTCATGACAATTTAATACCTCCCAGAAAAGGAATGATACTCCACCTTATATTAACATGTACTTTTTAAAACAAATTTAGAATCATCATTCTTTTAGGTTTCAGATTACAGATCCCATATTACATGATTTATCTCAAAAGCTCTTAAAACATGCAGTATTTAAGACAATTTTTTAACCCCAAACATCAATCTGCTTACACTGTTGCCTCACATTCTACCCAGAAACCTTGAGAAGTAGCTGCCAATTTCATTTAATTCAACCTGTTTGTAAAGCTGAGTATTAAATACTGGTAAGTAGGTGAGTTTATACCAATGAGTCTAGGAAACACCTGTTGGAAGAGCGTTTGGTTACTTTAAAAGTGTCCTGTGATCAGAACAGGCAAGGAATCTCTCAGATGTTGAGATTTGAATCATTTTTGTTTTGTGGGTTAGCAAAAGACTTCTATAGGCAGTCAGTATAATGGCGAAAAACAATGTTAGTGCTAATATGTGCTTGTGAAAGTGTACAGTAGATTTGATTAGTGGTCAACCTATATGGGTTTTTTTTAATTTTCTCAATTTTCAGAACCATTGACAAGTAGGTCAAAATATTTTGGGCAACACATGATCTCAAAATGGCCAAATATCATCTGATCGTCTAAATAAATTGAGAATAAATCCCAGTGCGTGATCACTTTGAAAATTATAGTTCGCCCGCTGCTGTGCCGCAGATTTTACCACAAGTTTTTATTTGTCCCACCAGCCGTCCTGACACAACCTTTATGTGGTTCATCAGTCCGCTCAAAGCAATCCGCTATCTAATCTGCAACAACTACAAGTGGCTAATCATCAAAATTGTGGTGGCTCTGTTGTTATTAGCGATGCTGGGCTTGTTTATATACAGTATGCCAGGTTACATGGTGAAAAAGCTTCTAGGGGCTTGAAAAGCTTTCTCAATGCCTGCAACATTCAGCATCACTGCGATATTATGCCACTTGACTGAGGCAGTTGTTTTTGGAATGATGTATTTGTTTGTTGGAGAAGTCATATGCATACTTATTGTTTTTCATCGGTGTTAAAAATCATTAATGCTTTAACTGAAGGATGACCATAAACATACTATTAAACGGCAAAGCCCTCATTGATGATCATCAAACACTGACAGGAGAGTGTAGCAGTTCTTTTGGAAAATGCTCGTTTTGGCTTTTCACATTTTAATCGTTGAGAACCTTGTGTCCAGTCATAGTCGTTAGCTCTTTGTGTTTCAGAAAACAAACAAAATCTAAAAGTGTAGTTGTCACGTTTGTCTGCATATCCAGTGCTGATGTAAAATGTTTGTTTTTTTATATCAATTCAAAAGTTTCTGGGGTTTTCAGATTTATTCACTGAACGATGTGTTATTGTGTGCTTTGGATGCTACTAATAAATCAATAAAGAAAACGGCATGCATTTTATTTATTAACAGTTCGTGAAAATCCTAAATTTTGTGCACCTATTCTCTAAAAACCAGTCCAATCGTGGATTACCGTCCTTCGATATTTCGCAATAAACAGGCCCATTTACCATCCATTTGTAAGCAGAAAATAAACAGCCATCTTATAATGCTAGTGTTGAATCTCTTAAGTAGAACAACGCAGTGTTGACTAAACTTCACGAGTCTATGAGCACTGATGTGCACCATTACACACTTGAACCTGCCAAAATTGCATGTCATCAATGAGACACACATTTTAAATTTGTGCATGTTCACAATTATTTAAAACCCAATTTTTAAAAGCTTGTTCAATGGTTTTGTCCCACCAGCCGCCCCGACACTACATTCCTGTGGTTCCTTAGCCCGCTAAAGGCAATCCACCATCTCATCTGCAAACAGTACAAGTGGCTGGTCATCAAAATTGTGTTGGCGCTGATGCTTCTTGCCATTCTGGCCCTGTTCCTCTACAGTATGCCTGGCTATATGGCCAAGAAACTCCTGGGGGTCTGAGAGATTCAATCAGAGCTTACTCTCCTCTGCAATATGTTTGAAATGCTTGAATTGAACATGATTTGTATGTCTGCATTTGGCGAAATAAAGACATCAGTTGACAGTAAACCAAACATCCAGTCTTTTGTTTTTCATTGGCACATATTTCATGTTCGTTTTAAGTTGGTGTGATTTTAGTGTTAAATTTAACTAACTCACTCTAGCTTTCTTTCATAGCAAGGTCTTTTAAGTTGAAGACGGTTTTTCAAAAATATAAGTTTATAAGGTTTTGTAATAAAGCAAACCAGTTTGTAACAAAAACAAATTAACAAAATAATTTGTTTTTCTGTCTGCAAGTCCAATGACGTCACTGTAAACTCACCCAAAGCAATAAATGATTTTTCACTTTGCCACTTGTGGAAGCAATAGTAGAAAAGATTCAACTATGTTTCTTGAATGTAAAGCAGTCATAGTGAAGTAACCACTATAGAGACTGAGGGGGCCACGTTTAGATTGAAATTAGAAAAATTATTTCAGATTTGCTCCTCATCCGTTTCTACATTGTCAAATAATCTAGTTGGGCTAGTAGTCACATAGGCATGTCGTTTGATTTTTGCTATGTGGTTTCTGTATACTGATGATGAAAGATTGGACCTAGAGTCATTTCTTATTCTGCGGCTCTAGTGAAGAACATTACGTTACAGCCTTCATCTGTCATTCAGTTACAAATAAATGATTTTCAGACTGACCAGTTGTCCATGTGTACCATATTTTGCAATGTTTGGGAATTGCACCCACAAGGTAAGAGTCCAATTTGTTTTTATGGGCCACACCCCAAAATGTATTAAAACCATATATCCCAAATGATATGGAAATGGACACGTATATGATATGAACAATAGAACAGGGAGCACTGAAGGATTCAGAGCAAAGATTTTTTTCTATTAATCACAGTTGCAGAGATATTAGTGCAAAAAAAGAAAAAACCTTATGTGCACCACATTGTGGTGGGGTTGAAACGATAACCTGACATTACCAACAACAGAAATTGTCAAATTATTGTATAATTAATATATAACAAATATTTGTGTAGTCGAATAGTCGTTTGATTTCATATTCATATCCTAATGAATTGCATATTATTTAATACATATTACATTGAAGTGATTGTTCGGTTTGCTTAAATTAAAGCTTAATCTAGCTCAGGACTGTTTTGATTATTATAACACTATAAGGTGTTTTAATAGAGCTAATGTTGTGAATAAAATAATTTATCCAAAAATAAAATGTCTTATCTTTATTTAGTTTAATATACATATGACAAAATATGTCAGGCAGAATGATGCATCAGTCAGTCAGTTACTTTTTTTTTTTTTAAAGTTAATTTAAATGGTGAATGAGAATCCCATTTTGTGTGCCAGATTTATTTGTATTGTAAAAAAAAAAACAGTTTGATAATTGTAATTGTGCAACAGTAATATAAATAAAACAAGGTAATCACATCAGATTTTGAAAATGTCAATTATTAGTTTGAATGTAATTTATTTTAACTGTCAAACCTGAATAATAGTACAAAGACTACTGGTCAGTGAAATAATCGGCGATTAATCGTTTATCAAAATAATCGTTTGTTGCAGCCCTACATTGTGGCCAGTTCTCACTCATTTTTTTACAGTCTCCTGTAGTTACTTTATCGTTTAGTGAAATCATTATTTGCTGAAATTCGATTGGCTGCTGGTGGCCATTTCTGTTGATTTCTACAATTTATTTTTCATGGCTTGGTTTGCACTTGCCCTAAAGACGACGTCTCAAATTTTCTGTGATCAAACTTGGTCTTATGAAGGTTTGTAGTTCTAGCGCCCCCTATGGGCAGAATTGGAAAAAATGTGCCACTCGTCACCCGAATGTCCGGTTGTCTATGAGTCTTAAGTTTTGTTAAAATTCTGTTTTATTTATATAGCACGTTTAAAAACAACAGACGTTGGCCAAAGTGCTTTACAAATCAGACATAGATATACACTGCACATGCAGTGTAAAATTACAAAACACAGTAACACATCACAAAAATAGAAAAAAATTAGTCAAATGCAAGAGAAAAGAGATGTCTTTAAATGAGATTTAAAAACATCAAGAGTGGCACAAGATCTAACGTGGAGAGGTAAACTATTCCATAGACGAGCAGCTGCAACAGAAAAGGCCCCGTCTCCTTTTGATTTTAATCGAGACTTGGGAACAACTAGCTGGAGTCTTTGTGCAGATCGTAAGGGCATGGATGATGTATGATGCTGAAGAAGTTCATTAATATAACTTGGTGCCAGTCCATTTAAACCTTTAAAAACAAATAATAATAACTTATACTGAATCCTAAATTTGACTGGAAGCCAATGAAGGGATGCTAATACTGGTGTTATACTTACAACTTTCCTAGTCCCAGTTAAAAGCATAGCAGCTGCATTTTGAACCAGCTGCAGGCGTGAAATTGATGCATGAGAAACACCATAGTACAAGGAATTACAATAGTCCAGTCTGGACATGATAAAAGCATGGATAACTTCCAAATCATTAAAAGTTAGAAAAGGTTTTAATTTTGCTATATTCCTTAATTGGTAAAAAACCACCTCTAACCACAGAGTTACTGTGCTTATCAAACTTTAACTCTGCGTCAAAAACGACTCCAAGACTCTTTGCATGATTATGTACCTTAGATTTAAATGAACCTAATTGATTAATTATGGGTCCAGAAAAACTCGGAGGGCCAAACTATCACTTCGGTCTTTGATTCATTCAAATTAAGAACATTTGCTGCCATCCATTCCTTAATATCCTTAAAACATGCAAAAAGAGACTGTAAGGCCGAATTATCCCCCATTTTTATAGGCAGATAAAGCTGTGTATCATCCGCATAAAGATGATAACATACATTATGTTTTTGACAGATAACAGCCAAAGGAAGCATGTAAATAGAAAATAATGCTGGACCCAATATTGATCCTTGGGGAACCCCACACTTCATCAGAGCAGAAGAGGATGAGAAATGTCCTAATTCAACAGAAAAAGTTATCCCTGAAAGACATGAACTAAACCAGTTAAGAACATTACCTTGCATCCCAGCCCAGTCTTTAACGCTCAATCAGTACTTCACGTTTTATAGTGTCAAATGCAGCTGTCAAATCAAGTAAAACTAAAATTGCACACTTTCCCGAATCAACAGCCAAAAAGAGATCATTAGACACTTTAAGAAGGGCCGACTCTGTGCTGTGCCCTAAATCCTGATTGGAACTTATCAAAAATACCATTTCCATTTAAATGAGTAGAAAGCTGTTGAAAGACAACCCTCAAAAATGCTTAAAGCAGGATGGCACAACACCACTCAGCAAACTGGAGTTCACTATTGACAAAAGATCTAGGCCAACCACGTCCAATACCCGAGTAAGGAGACGTGGAGGAACAATGTCCAAAGAACACCGAGTGGGCTTCATATGGCAGACTAAGTCCACCAAATCAGGTAATATCGGTTTAAACTCATTTATATAATGTACTAATGAGGGTGGGATGATATAATCAAGGATAGTCTGGAGGCAGAATACTAGTTCTAAGAATATCAATTTTGTTAATGAAGAACTCGTTGAAAATTTTCACACGCTGTCTGACTGATATCAAGACCAGTAGCTATCTCAGAATTGGACAATGTGTTTGAAAGATACAGGTCAATTAGTCTAAATAGGTGTCGAATTAGTCAAATCTTTGCATCGATCTTTTTGATAACCCTTGTATGATTGCAATTATGCACTAAAAACAAACACACTTATTATACAGCCACTTTGTGTCCAATGTATGTGTGGATGGAATTTGTAACAATCCCAACAAGTTCTCAAGATTTCCACGACTTACCTTTGCTGACAGAGATGAATAATCATCATCAAAACAGTACAAATACCCAATTATTTTACAGAGATTAAACATTTACTAGCAATTTATGAGAGTAATTCAAAGTAAATCTAGACCAAATTTCTTTAAATGTAGAAATGTCTTGGTCCTGTGGACAAGTTTTACTCTGTTTAACCCAAAGTATCATACTTGTATACAAAAAGAAATCGGCAGCATTTTCGTATCTTTCCAGAAGACAAGATTACGACAGTGAACAGGTTTTAAGATAGAATTCAAAACCTTTATTACAAAAATAAGTTACACTCACCTCATTTTACAGTATAAAACAATTTATTTGCTGGAATGCAAAAACGTTGTTGGCCACCAACAATAGTTTAAAACTGCTCACACATCTTTTCAAAAGGTTGCAATGTTACAGCTTTATCGAGAGGGAGTTAACTGTGTACAAAACCGGTTGAATGGTTCGGTCACCTGCTTGCTATATATGGAATATAAACTGAAGATGCAGTATCCCTTTTTCTACAAAAACCAGCTCATCTCTTGCCTGCGAACGCAAGCTCGGGAAAGTGGCAAGCACCAATATCGATTGTTCGTCTAAAGTCATGATTGATTATAAAAACTACACAATTCATTGCTCTTCGACTGGCGTTCGTGAGAACCGCCCGGCGTTGGCAGAAAAAAGGACACTGCAGGGCTTAGCAAATGCAGCGGATGCATTTGTGAAGTTTAAGCCAATACAAAAGTAACATTTTATTCCAAACTATCATACAATCATACACCCAGTAACTACATAATCTGAAGAAGCAAGGCAGCTAATTCAGTTGAAAGGAGGATAAAAGCAGGGCTTGTTCCAGCTCATCACATGAGCTTCATTTGCATGCCCAGTTTTACTGTTTGCAATGTCAGAGCAGCAGCGGATTGACTACATTACATTAAGAATATCTGCTGCCCTTGTGCATATTTCATAAGAAACAAGCCCTGCTCCTATGCTTCGACGCGTCCCTATTTACAGTACAGGCAGGGTAGTTGAATCCTCTCTACTGAGGTAGTTAACCGACCCTTAAAAAGACAAGTTCTGAAAAGAACCATGTTCCTGGAATGCCTGACTTGTCCACGCGAGGCAGTTACACCAAAAACCCGCAGATGTTCTCAATCCGAATCCAAGCGCTTTAGGTTAACATGGACATTCCCACAACAACAAAATTGTAGTTAGCACAAAAATATACATCAGTATCAAGCTCCTCCAAGCCACTTCAAACACAGGAGTAAAAAAAAAAGAAAAAGTGCAAAACACATCTGACGTATTGGGATCCTTGAGAGTCTGAACTTCAGTTCCATAATGTGGCGCGTTTAGACGTGGACTATATAACTGGGGGTTTATTTAGACGGGCTCCGAATGGGGAAAAACTGTGTCCGGGGTTTCGACTTGAGAAATCTTATGGTTTGTCGGGGATGGCAGTGTAGGAGATTTGCTTCAATACAGGCTGGAATACCATTGGACATTGGAGCTTGCTTTAACCTTATGGACACTGGTAGCATCCGGTGTAACCCCATACAACAAGTCAGTCTTCATACTACCTGGTCAGGACCAGCCTCGACCCCCTTTCCCTGGTGAAACAAAAAATATGCATGCTTTATTCACACAAACACAAGCAGCGGTACAGAATCAGGTTCATGCAGGACCTTCACAACAAAAGCACAAGAGATGGATCATCCAAAGTCTAGGAAAACTCCCACTTAATGAGAACGCTGAGGACATCGGTGCCAATGAGTAGCACAGAATCTGTAAATGAATATCTTTGATATTAATGCATGTGCTGAAGCATGAGCATGTCCGGCTGCAGGAGTGCACCTGGTACGTTCACATTTAAATCGTTACGTTTATAACAGACAGGCTTTGCGATGCATTACAGCGAAGGCAATGACTCCGCCCATGCAGTTTCCATCTTTAGACTTGTTTTGCAATCCTCCCTTGTCTTGAGCGCATGCAAATGTTAATACAGGTGTTTTAAAAGCCAAATATTTAAACTTTACTAGCAAAAACCAAAAAATATTGTTTTTGCCTAAGTTTCAACTATTTCTGTGAATCAGTTAAACGGAATATTTTACATTTAACCAAATTAAGACATATTCAGTAATTTGCATAATATCTCAAAAGCTGCATTTTTTATACAATAAAATATTGGACACTAAAAAATGATTATGTAAATAAATTATTGGAGTACGTTTTACAAGAAAAAACTATTTCAGTTTTTCTACTTTAAATTTACCCATTTAATTACATGTCATTGATTTGTAATTATCTGTGAAATTTACTAGCAATTTCTGCGTGAAAATAGTTTAATTCCTACCCCGATTTTTTTTCACATTATTTTACTGTATGTAAAATGTTTATGTATGTAACTACATGTTTATGTAGCTTTAAAAAAAAAATTGTAACGAGATTTTTGCTGTATTTTACTTTACATTTTCTGATTTGGTGAAATGCTGCTTCTCATTAGGGAAAAACAAATCTAAACCATTTCAGAGCAAATACAAGTGATAAAAAAAAAAAAAAAAAACATTCTCAGTTTTCATTTAGCCAACAATAAAATGTAACGGATTAATTAAATTTAACAATCAACACTCAAAAACGAAATATTTAAATAGCACATAAGGCAGTTTTTATATAAACTTTTTAATGATATAATTATGTTTTTACTCCATTTTGTTGTTGAAAAAATACATTTAAACGGTGGTTGGAAAATGTGTGCAGAAAACAGCATAGACTACAAGATCTCAGTTCATCTACATGAAGTTCAATTAAAAACAACAAATTGTCTCACTCATGTTTATCCACATTTTGTGCACAAAGCAACAACTGTAGTAGCGCTAATTAAACGCATATGTAGCAGTCTAAAATGAATCCGTGTATGTAAGTGCTGTGAATTTAATTGCCAGGAATGAAAGAAAAGTGCAAACCTTTGGTCCGTTTCGTCCACAAGGTGCCTTGCAAATGTAAGCAATATGAAAAGGAGGGGAAGGAAAAAACAAACGCCAAAACATGTATTTTGATCACCATGTCCTTTGTCGAATTTGACTTAATAAAATGAGTGCACATCTAGCCTAGAGTGCTTCAAAACCTCCTGCCAACACTCCAGGATTGCTCCACCCACACATCACGTACCACTCGACATCTCTGCTGGAGGCCTGCTCTGGACCCTCGGCCACCTCGGCTGGGCCCCGGACCCCCGCGCTGAGAGAAACCGGCCCGTCCTCTGGGAGCGGTGGAGCCGCGGCCCCTGGACAGCGTGGGGCCCCGGACTCCTCTGTTGCCTCTTCCTCTGACGTGAGCTTGAAAGTCATCGTAGCCGTAGTAGGGGTCGTCGTAACCGCCTCTGTAGTTGTGATAGTCATAGCCGTAGTAATCGTAATAATCTTCATAGCTGTAATAGTCGTGGGGATACGAATAACCTCTAGCGCCTCGTCCTCTTGCTCTCGTCGGGGGATGCATATGCGGCGGCCCGTAGTAATAATACTCATCATACCTGAAACAAACACACGTGTTTACAATCTTTACAATCTTTTCCGCACTGGTTGCTCACACCTCAGATTTGAAAAAAAGACTCAAGAAATGGGCGTGTAAAGATGTGGAAAAGTGGGCATGAAGAGGAGACACAACATCCACTAAAACACAGACACACAACGCTCATTATACAGAGTAATAGCGGTATGACCAAAAATCTGTTTCACGGTATGACTATTTTATTTCACGGTATAGTATAGTATAGTGGTCGACCGATATTGGGTTTTTTTGACAGCCGATACCGATATCTTGGAAAGCAGGGTGGCCGATATAAAGCATTTATTTTAATTAATATTTAAGAAATTTGAAATAATTTGAAAATGGATTAAAAAATAAATTTGTAAAATAAACATACTTATACTTTAGATGACAAAGTATTTTTCACAAATAAATATTTAATAAAAATATAATTAAAAAGGAAGTAAACTGTAACCAGCAGAGCACTCAGTATTCTGGGAAGTTTGTGTGCATTGGGAATCATATTTTTTCAAATAAAGCCAAGGTAACACTCATTTTACATACAGCACACAGTGAAAATGACATGAATATGACAGTGGGTAAATGCATAAAGCGCAGCATAATTTGAAATCACGAATTTAAAGCATTCGATTTGCACGGACCGAAAGTCAGGCAGAGAACACATGATCATGCAGGTCACATGCACACTTCACAAGATCTCACAACTGCATTAGACTAAGTTTGCAAGGTTTGTGAAATTAAATTTTCATTAGCCATTCAAAGATTTGTTTCAATTATGTAAATGCGTATTTGCTGAATGCTGACGGCAAACGAGAAAGTATTATAATGTTTGCCTTTCTATTACTAATAATATAAAAGCAATCGTTATAATACTTTGTATACATTTTAATTCCTTTGTTTAACCGTTCTATCGGATTATTAGACAGACTTCTATCCGTATTAGACAGAACTGTTAACGACGACGGCAAACAAGAGTGAGAATGTGAGCTCTCAGCGCCGTCAAAATAAAAGTCCCGACTCGAAAGCATCGGCCAAACAGAAGAACTTATCGGCCGATGCCGATATTTGAAAAATGCCAAATATCGGCCGATATATCAGTTGACCACTAGTATAGTATATATATTTATTTAATGCCATGTCAGCATCAAAGGCTATTTTCATGGCAAAAACAATTTAAAAAATACAACTATAACAAATACAATAAAAAACAGCAAACAAACAAGTTATATCACAAAAGTTTTTTTACATTAGCATGTGATAAAAATTCTAAAACTTTTCCTGGCAAAATTTTACTAAATACCTCTTTAAGTGAGTTCACTTCATAAAAGAGTTTTCTCTGTACATTAAAAGCTGGACAGTCCAATAAAATGTTTAACAGAAAGGGGAACCTTGCAAAACATACATTGAGTAGGGTCTTCACCTTTAAGCAAAAATGCATGAGTCAGTCTTGTATGACCTATACGACATCTGGTAAATTTATTTCACGTTAACGATATATTTCACAATATAGTTGTTTATATATGTAGTTATGAAAATCGACAAAAAGGGCTTTATATAATAAATAAACTCAAATACTTCAGAAATGAAAAGTACTTCACTTTGTTTGATTTTTTTCTTCTTCTTTTATTTGGTAAATTATTTATTTAGTAAAAAAAACTCAACTTTTAGATTAACTGCCCCCAACTGACTGATATTAAATGCAACTTGTAGGTGCAATTAAACTTTAAATAAGGTGTTTCTGAATTATTTTTAAATCTCATGTTATTGTTTTACTTCAATCAGTTTGTATTTTTATATTTTATATTGAAATATTCTATTCATGATAAATTGCATTTACTTCCTTAATGAATATTAAAATGTGAGTGGAGAAAAAACAAGTTGGGGTAATTTTCCTGTATTTTAACCCTGTAAAGTCTGACATCAGAAATATCAGTCCAAAAAAAAAAAAAATCTAGCATTTTTTGTTAAAGGGGTCATATGATGCTTTTTTAAAGATCATTATTTTGTGTATTTGGTGTAACAGAATATGTTG